GTTTGCAGTCTTTCTTTAAAAGAAGCAAGGAAGCATTGAGCATGAGGAAGTGATGACTGAAAACCCTACTGCAATACTAGGGAAATTTGTTGGCTTCTTGGCTGACTCGAAGAACACATTGAAAGGCAATATTCCAGGTATAATCAGTGCCATTTCCACTGCTCTTAATGCTAATGTTACACATGATTTTTGGATTATTGACTTAGGTGCCACTGATCATATAACTAATAAATCCTCTAGTCTACATGAATTTCAAAAAACTAGTGATCTAATTCATGTGTCTGTTACAAATGGGAAAGGAAAACCTATTCTAGGGAAAGGGAAAGTTAGATTGCTGAGTGAGCATACTGATTCTACTGCCTTCTATGTACATTCCTTTCCTTTTCAGCTCTTGTCTATAAGAAGAATCACAAAAACTTTAGACTGTCTTGTCATATTTTCCCCTCACAATGTTATGTTTCAAGATCGAGTTACACATAAGAAGATTGGTGAATGGTTCTTCTTAAATGGACTTTACTACCTCTTAAAGGAGTCCAAATTTGTCAAAAAAACTTAGTCTCAACCTAAGTCACGCTCAGGAACACCAACTATGGCAGCAACGTCTTGCCCATCCCTCAGAACCTGTGATGACCAAGTTGTTTCCCATTTTTTGTAAAAACACACTTGAGTGTGAAACTTGTCAAATGTCAAAAGCCACTAGGCTTCCTTTTGTTTCCTTTAATTCTAGAACTAGTAGACTTTTTGAGGTTGTTCACTCAGATATCTAGGGTCCTTCTCGTGTAGAATCCTTTGATGGGTATATCTATTATGTTACATTTGTTGATGACTATTATAGAGTGACCTGGTTGTATCTTTTAAAGTTTAAAAGTGAGTTGTTGATGCTTTTAAAGACTTTCACAACCTAATCACAAATCATTTCTCATCTAAGTTATATATGTTAAGATCAGATAATGGCACCGAGTACATTTCCAATAACATGAGTAGTTACTTGAGCAATCATGACATTTTGCATCAAACTACCTGTGTTGGTATTCCACAACAAAAACGGTGTGGCAGAGAGAAAGAATCGAGACTTATTGGAAAAGACTCGATTACTTATGATCTTGTTCCCAAGAAATTTTGGTCTCAAGCCCTACTCACTGCCACTTACATCATTAACAGACTGCCAACTCATGTTTTGAATACTAAATCTTCCTTTGAAGTCATAAAGGGCAGGTCTATAGACTTGTCTCACCTTAGGACCTTTGGTTACACCTGTTATGTGCACATTCAAGCTTCCCATCGTGATAAACTCGACCCTTGGGCTGTCAAATATGTGTTTATGGGATACTCGAGTTCTCAAAAGGGTTACAAAGTGTACAATCCTAATACTGGGAAGCTGGCAGTCTGTAGAGATGTTCGATTTGATGAATATTCACCTTATTTCCACAAAGGTTTGGAGACTAATTCCAATAGGGAAGATCTTATTGACCTATTTCCACTGCCTACTCTAGCAAAAGTTCATGAAGTCACTCCTGCTCATACCAACACTGAGAATTCTCACCCCACTAAGAGTGTAAGTGAGGGCATGCCTAGCTCCTCAGGACCATTAGAACCTGAACCAAGGAGAAATCCTGCACGAGATAGACATCCACCAGTAAGGTTGCAAAAGTACATTACTTACAGTGTAAGACATTCTATTTATGCATCCATTTCTTATCACAGATTCTCACCATCTTATGCTTCTTTTCTTAACAAATTATCCAACACTTTTGAACCAAGGAGTTTTCATAAAGCCTTATGCATGCATAAGTGGCAAGATTCTATGACTCAAGAGCTCCAAGCTTTGAATGACAACCAGACATGGAGTACAATGGATCTTCCAAAGGGCAAGAAGGCAATAAGAAGTAGGTGGATATATAAGACCAAGTTCAACTCCAATGGAAGCGTTGAGAGACATAAGGCATATATAGTAGCTCAAGGTTTTACACAAACCTATTACATTGACTACAAGGAGACCTTTGCTCCAGTTGCCAAAATGAACACTGTGAGGGTATTGTTATATGTGGCAGTCAATAATGCATGGCCCTTATTCCATATGGATGTGAAGAATGCATTTCTTCATGGGGAGCTTGAAAAAGAAGTGTACATGAAGTTGCCTCCAGGTCATCCAAGAGAAAAGGAATCCAACAAGGTCTGTAGACTTCACAAAGCCATATATGGTCTCAAACAGTCCCCTAGAGCTTGGTATTCGAAGCTCAGTTCAATTCTTGAAGCTGCAGGGTTCAAAAGGAGTCATGTTGACTCATCCTTGTTTGTTTGAAGTGGTAATACTGGGAAAGTAGTGGTACTTATATATGTTGATGATCTTATTATTACATGTGATATATGTTGATGATCTTATTATTACATGTGACAATATGAGTGAAATCATGACTCTTAAGCAATCACTTCATAAAAAATAATTGCCATTAAAGACTTGGAGACCTTGAAATACTTTCTTGGAATTAAGGTGGCCACCTCTTCAAAGGGGTTATTCTTGAATCAAAGAAAGTATGTTCTAGATCTTCTGGATGAAGCTACCATGATGGAGTGCAAGCCAGCTTGGACACCCCTAGCTAGCAAACTTAAGTTGCATGAAAAAGGTGATCCTCTCTCGGATCCTAGTGTTTATCAGCGAGTGGTTGGGAAACTCATTTATCTCACTATTACTAGGCCTGATATTTCTTATTTAGTAAGCCTAGCCAATCAGTTAATGCACTCTTCTACACTAGTTCACTGGGAAATTGTTAAAAGAATACTTTGTTATCTCAAGAGCTCAGTAGGTAGAGGAATACTTATGAAGAACAATGATTCAAATCACATCATGGCTTACACCGATGTTGACTGGGCTGGAAATGCCATTGATTGAAAGTTTACCACAAATTTTTGCACATTTGTTGGAGGCAATCTTGTCACTTGGAAGAGTAAGAAGCAAACCGTAATTGCACGGTCCAGTGCATAAGCTAAGTAGAGGGCCATGACAGCGACAACATGTTAACTTATATGGATGAAAAGTCTTCTCTCTGATCTCGGTTTCACAAGCAACACACCAATGTCTTTGTTTTGTGACAACCAAGCTACCATGCACATTGCCTCTAATCCAGTGTTTCATGAGAGGACTAAACATATTGGAGTTGATTGCCATTACATTCGTGATCAGGTTCAATCCAAGGTGATCGACACGGTGTTCACACGAAGCCATGATCAACTGGTTGATTTGTTCACAAAAACCCTAGATTCTACTCAATTACAGCGTTTGTTGTGCAAGCTTGGATCAATTGACCCCCTTGATCCAGCTTGAGGGGGAGTATTGAAACAAACCGAATACTAGTTGCTAGTTGCTTATATATGTCACAAGTATGGTTGTAAAGCAAATGTCACAAGTATGGTTGTAAACATCACTCTAGCTAAGTCATGGGTTAAAGTGATTTTCTCAACCATACTCTAGTCTTGTAGGCCTTGTCACTCACTTAGGTCTTTTGTCAATCTTTCTTCCTTGTTTCTAGGAACCACTTTACTTGTTATTAATATTTGTCTTGTCCACTTGTTAGGACTGATTTGGTAGTGAGGTATGGCTGTTAACCTTCCTCTTGTAGTCTTCTTTTCGGCTCTCTATAAGAGTTGTCTTTCACTCTTGTAAAGATGATGAGAAATACAATACAAGATTTAAAACAAAAACTCAACACCACTTCACACATTGCTCGTCTTCTGATTGCCCCAACCTCCATGCCTCCTATGCTCGCTGGTGTAACGCTTCTCGGAAACTTTGGGTGCACCACCATGCATGATGTATAATTAACGACGTCAGTAATAGTACGTAAGGGGTAGGGCAGGTGCTAGGAAGTGAATCATATAAAAGCTTCTGGTCTTCTCCTTCCACATTATATTATACGAAATTGTATTTTATTTTATTTTATTTTTATTTTTGGTTTGCTTAGGGCGGAGCATGCCTTAAACAAGAAAAGGGGAAACCCTGCACTGGTTTGATCCACCAAATGGGTAGGGCTGTTGGAGCACTACTCCAACGATGAATCAAATTTTATGCTTAGAAGAACAAACAGAAGTGTTGAAAGTAGCTTGAGTCCTATAAGCTGTCCATTTAAACAAGTCCACATTTCCTCTGGAGAATATCAATTTCGTACAAAACATCACTTCATTCAGGAATTCTATACTGGAAACTGCTTGACTATGTGTAAGGGAGGCATTCCTTCTTCAACAACGACGTTTATTTTCTTTTCATCATTCAAGATCAACTTTAAAAAGATCCCTCGATTTGGAGACCATTTATTCTTCCGTATGCATCAAACAAATTGATGATTCATAATAAAGTTGTTACTTGTTACCATAAACGTCAATTTGTTCGAGACATATGCATTCTTAAATGGTCTATGAATTGAATGAACTTTATAGATGATCTTTCGATTATAATAGAAAGAATGAACAATTTCAACTATAACTAGAAAGGTGAAATGATATCACGTCATCATTGAATCAGAGAAATTACTCTTTACGTGTAATGAGTCAAGTTTTATGTTTTTTGTATTACTCAGTGCGGAAACAAATAAGTTCATCATAAATCAAGGTCATGGGTGTCGGGACTTTTATTATAAAATGCTCAATCTTGGCCGGCTGGACACGTGCGTATGTAATCACTTACACGTGCTAGTATGCAATCACTTTTAGTTTAAACCTCATGAAATTACTGCACCAACTTAGCAACTTCAATCAAACATAGAGTTACTATTTACAAGGCACAAGTGGTGGACTAGCTGTATCTATAAGTGCTTGTGACGATCTGAGTTGCTTGCTCAACTCGAACCATACATATATATCACCCAAAAATTACTTTAAACGCAAAGTAAAAGCAGACCGAATCGGGCTCTCCACTACTCCCCAAAGTCATCGAATATAAGCTATAGTTGACAAAAAATAACTTGGACAAATCCCACCAATGCCACCACATAAGGCACTCAACTATTGTTCCATGCATGAATCAGAATATTAATTGAAGTAATCCTCTCTATTAAGTTCTTGGCATTCCAGTTGATAAACATGTATAATTAGCACCTTCATTCCCTAAGTGTGATATATACACAGAAGCTAGGAATTGCGATGGCAGGTAGGAGAGAGAGGTGCAATGGGTGCGGAGTACAACTTGTAGTGCCTCCAAAAGCACAGATAATTCGCTGTAGTGTGTGTCAAGGCGTCACCCATGTTAATCGAACCTCCATCAATCCTTATATTCAAGCGAGCCATGATTCAATAAACCAAGCCACTGACCTTTTTAAATCCCTAATGACTACTGTGATTACCACGGTCTCCTCCACGAGTACTGGCCACCCGTTTAATCATCAATACCATTATCAGCCTCCCCAGCCTTCAGTACCAAAACCCTTGATGCCTCCTTCACAGCATGGAAGACAGCGTGCGGTGCTTTGTGGAGTAAGTTACCGTGGGCGGAGTTACAAGCTCAAAGGAACTGTGAATGATGTTCAGTGCATGAGATACTTTCTTGTTGACAGATTAGGCTTTCCAAATGATTCCATACTCATGCTCACAGGTATTGTTAATTACTTCCACACTTCAATCACAAAACAAATACTAATATTTTCTCAAATGTCATTTCTTTAGATTTAACAACTGTCAATTCACAAACCTCTTGCAGTAAGTTGAGACCAAATTCTACTAGAATATCATTATTTGACCTGTTTTACCAATGTCATGATCATCTAAACCATGTAGTATATATACGACTTGATGTTGTCTTGGTGCAGAATATGAGACAGACCCTTTTAAGATCCCAACAAAACAAAACATACGATTGGCGTTACAGTGGTTGGTGCAGGGCTGCCAATCAGGAGACTCGTTGGTGTTCCACTTCTCTGGCCATGGATCAAGGCAGCGCGACTATAAGATGGATGAGATTGATGGCTACGATGAAACACTGTGCCCTGTTGACTATGAGACCCAGGGGATGCTCCTTGATGATGAAATAAATGCCACAATTGTTAGGCCACTGCCCCATGGCGCCAAACTTCATGCCATTATCGATGCCTGCCATAGTGGAACTGTTCTTGATCTACCATTTGTGTGCAGGATCAACAGGTAATGGTTAAGAGTACCTATATGCCCAGCTACGTCTTAATTAAACGCCTACAAATTGTGAAATTTGTTCAATGTAGGGAAGGATACTATAAATGGGAAGATCATCGATGCTCACCTATTTATAAAGGCACAAATGGTGGACTAGCTGTATCTATTAGTGCTTGTGATGATCACCAAACCTCTTCAGACACTACGGTGAGTATTTTTGATATATGCAAAAATCAACCAATAACTAGTTCTTAACTCATAGGTATTTTTCTTTCACAACGTTGAACAAGGTCCGAAGTTTAAATCTCTCTCACCCATATCAATAAAATATACTTATGTATATATATGTATCATTAATCTTATGTGCGCATTCGTGAAGAATAATCCATCACTATCTGAACAAGTTGATAATCGAAATACATAAATAAAGAATTTATTCTCTTGGTATAGCATATATTCATCATGTTCTTACTCACTATTTAGTTGGTAAATAAGAATAGCATAGGTTTATATTACCATTACTGTGTTTGAATTTTGTATTAGTACCATAGCAGCTGGGAGAGGAGATCTTTCTTCCACAAATGAATTGAATTTAAATAAAAAACAAATGCAAGGTAAAATGACACAAATTTGATGGGATTGTTCAGGCTTTATCGGGATACATTTCAACCGGCGCCTTGACTTATAGCTTTATCCAAGCAATGGAAAATGATCCCGGATTGACGTACGGCTATCTGCTGAATGTTATGCGCCAAATAATTCGTGAAGCAAGAACTGGCATACGCCTAAAAGGGCCAATCGCAGCTCTTGTAAATAAAGTACTTCGGACCGGATTATCACAAGTAAGTATATTTACATTTACATTTTGGAGACAATTTTCGACGTATCTGGAACACCAGCTAAGGATTTACAGCCCCCACTAATAGACGTTTCACACGTGGCTAATATGCTTTTTAAATGACACCAGAATTCTCTTGAAAGATAAAGACCTAAACCTCTCATCTTCAACAATCTATGAATAAACACTTTAAAGGCCAAAACATGACAAGTAGCTCATAAAATACTTCAAAATAACAAACATGCACCACATTTAGAGGCAAGCTCAATACAAGGTGGGGACGCAATCTGGTTCCCTAAGCTCTTGAAACCATGAATCGAACAAGATATTCATATATGATCTGGTTCGGTTCATAAAACCAAAATATTATCAAGTAAATTGATACAATCCAGACCTACTCACTTATTGTTCAGTTGTACCGGTTAGCGGATCTAGGTTATACTATGATGGTGGTGCTTAAACCCGGAATTTGAGCAGTATCCACTGATCATACCAGCCATGAAAGTACGTAGCTGGTACTTCGCCACCTAAACCAGTCCATGAAGTTCGCCAAGATCTAATTCAACATTTGCCTTCTCACCTTCGTTTTCTTGTAAACCATCTCTCTCCTCAGATTTAGAAGCTTTTCGTGGGTTTACTATCTTACGAGCTTATTCAAAGAGCCTATTCAAGATACTCTGAATAAGAATATGACAACAGAATACATATATTTTTCTATATGAAATATAAAAAAAAAAAAAACTTTTAGAAAACACTACAATCAACTAACTCAAGCTCTCAAATAAAGATATTGTTCAACAAAACCAAATAGGATTGATCTAATATTGTTGTTTGAAATTACAAATATGTATGTACCTCTTTTAGAACAATATCAAAATAGTACAAACAAGTGTTATACGCGTTATTATAGCATAAATAAATTAATATAGTTATACTTGCATTCAACTTAATGTCCCATAAACTGCAGAGTTCTCTATGTTTTATAACTTAATAAAAGGTTTTTTTTTTTTGTTTTTTTTTCAGGAGCCTCAGCTGTCATCATCTGAACAATTTGACATTTATTCAAAACAATTGGTGTTGTAACATGGAAATTAAGTTTATACCACTAATAATCCACCCCAGCTGGATTGGTGTCTTCTCAAATTGAGTCCTAATTAAGTTACTTTTATACATGAGCTTTTCCTCAACTCTCATGTTTTTTTACTTTGTTAAAAAACAACAAATATTACATAAGATGAATTAGTTTCGCGTTTTTCCTCAACGTTCTTCCCATGCTTACTTTTCAAGACCATTCACCTGTGCCTACCTCATTATGTGTTGAGAAAATTTCTCACATCTTGTCATTTTATTAGTTTTTCACCATTTTGATGCAATCTATGTGGGTTGGATCTTGTACATACACGCTTTATATTTCAGTAAATTCGTGGGCATGTACTTACACCCCGAACGCACCCGCAGCTCACCCCGCTCCCCACCCCGTCCCCTTTCCCGACCCCTTTCCCGTCCCGTATATTCAATTCACAGATTCACATATTCAAGTATTCAGAAAGTGTTTAATACCGAAAAAATTAAATTCGAAAAAGGAGACGAACATACTTATGTGAGAGCTTGAAAATAAGAGAAGGGGCAAAAGAGAGAGAGAGAGAGAGAGAGAGAGAGAGAGAGAGAGAGTAGAGATGGAGAGTGAGAGAGGGTGAGAGAGAGAGAGAGAGAGAGAGTAGGGGGGGGAGGAAGATAAAAGAAGGCTTTTGGCCTGCTATAAAAATCATGACATTTGCCCAAGGAATCCATTCGTCGGGCAAACCTTAAACACTCGACGGGCAAATTTAAAAAATGTGACACGTGTATTGTGAACTCGTTATTTCATCGAGCAAAATGACCAACGCGTAGGGCAAAGGTTGCATAGAAATGTCGGCCCAATTTAATTTTTGGAGAAAAAAATGGTAGGAACATGCCTTTGCCAGACCAAATTTACAATACTTCGTCGGGCAACCATTTTAATCTGGGAGAAAGTTTAATTTTTCGAGAAAAAGTTGGGGGAATTTGAAAGTTTGCCTGATGAATTTAGTATTGTTGCCTGACGACGTTGTTAAGTTTTTTGACGAAATTCCACAATACTGGGCTGCTGAAAATTCAACAGCCATTCCTACTTTCATCCAATCAGATTTGGACACGTGTCCAATTTGTGTTTATAATTTCAATTATTTAGACATGTGTCAAAATTTGATTGGTTGAAAGCAAGAATGACTGCTGAATTTTCAGTAGCCAAGTATTGTTTGACGAAATTTACCAACTTTAGGGCGAACACCAAAAATTCAATTTTCCCTATTTTTTTATTCATTTTCAAATGGTTAAAAGATGATCAAATTTGATCATTAAGTCAATTCAGTGTGTGGTTTTACCTTCCATTAGCGTCCTTACAAAAAAATCATCAAAATCAAAGGTTCTATAGCTATTAAATTGTCATCATACATTTGTAACCGTCTAACCTTTCGTCTCGTTACCTAATCTCTGAAAGTTATTGGCATATGCGATCTCTTACTACATTCAAACAAGTTTGACGGTTGGATCGTGAAAATTGGTTTCGTTGACTGTGTATCCATCAAAACAGTAGATTTAACAAACGCTTAATTGGAGTTTATTTTATACTTCTATTAAGTAGTATGTAATATTGTGTAGCAACCACTAGTGTACATATTTTACATTGACGATGGGGGTGAGTTCGTTGTATTCTTCTTGGATCAAGAAGTGTAGTTATGAAAAATCACCAAAATCGGAGCTAATATAACTCTTTAACCTTGATGATACGTTTCTAACCGTCGAAGAATTTTGTCATGTTAGATAATCTTAGAAACTTGCATTGGGTGAATTTTGGCACATGTCATCTCAAAGTATATACCAACTATAGCGACGTTTGAATTGTTGAAATAATTTCGCATACTGCAAAAATCATCAAAGGAATTGAATATGCGAAAATGTCCCTCACCTTTACCCAAAGAACTGTAACCCTAAACACTAATATACACCCCGGTGAATTTCTTTCTGTCGAGCAAAACATGGCTTGATATGTGCCAATTTTTTCTCTTGACGTGAAAGCTTTGTCTGACGTCGTTTATTTCTTTGTCCATCGAAACGTTTCGTCACCTAAAGTCTTTAAAACATTCAAAACGACGACTTTTGCCCGATTAATTTTTTTTTTTCATTTGGCATTGTGTTCGATGAAACTTGATTAGTCAAACTCTCGTCTGGCAAATGATTTTTTGGTTGTGAATCGATTGTATTCCTGAATGACCAAATTAAAAATTCCACAACACTGAGTTAAGGCTAGTTTTGAATACAATAGAATCCAGGAGTTAACCGACTACATAATAATTATTAGTTGGAAAGTTTCTTGTGTCCATATGTAGAGAAATTGATTTTTTAATTGCTAGATTATTGTGGGGATAGAAACATGATGAATGGAAAAATTCATTGGGTTAATTGGGAGACCAAGGGTTTGCCAAAAACTGATGGGGGTATGGGTTTCAGGAATCTACAAGAGTTCAACGCTGCCGTACTTGCTAAACAATGTTGGAGAATTATTAAGGAGCTGGATTCTCTCTGGGTTAAGGTTCTTAAAGCCAGGTACTTCCCTTCCACCTCGTTCCTTGACACTATACAAGGATGCGAGGCGTCATGGGCTTGGGCCAGTCTGTTAGACGGGAGAGAGATTCTTCTAGATAGCGCTCATTGACAGATTATAAATGGTTCCAACGTTAGGATCTGGTTTGACAGGTGGATCCCTTCTCTCCCCAATGGCCATTGTTGATGCACAAAACCAAAAGGTCTTGGAACAACATAAATCCAACCGTGAATCTGCAAGAAAGTAAATAACACAAGATGTGTCGTGGTTCACCCCAAGGTTTGGGCTACGTCCACACTGATATTGTATTTATGAGGAAGAAAGTGCTCTGAATATGAGAATGAGAGCTTTGAGAGGATGAGGGGGGCTTAAGGCCTAAGAATTGGCCTCTAGAAGTGAGGAGGCCCCCATAATTGTGAGGGTGAAGGGTCCTTTTATAGAATAAGGGCTTCTCACTTATTACATATTTGCCCCTTTCTTTATTACATAATTACATTTAAGTCCCCCAAGTATTTATACGAGATCTAAATACGGAGGCCCTAAGTATGGTATAAATAGTAGTCCCCCAAGTTTTCAGTCAAGAGAATCTTTTGGCTGGAGACTTGAAATTCAGTTCATGTGTGGGTCGAAGTAACTAGATGTCATCTTGAACTGATACTTGATATGAGACGGTGCTCAAAGAGAAATGATGCTCAATTAGAAGTAGCACATGTTGCGAGACTGCTTAGCTTGTGGCTTATGTTGCCTTGGTTGGCTCGGCTTGTGGCGTTGAATGTGAGGGAGCCCCTTTTATAGAATAAGGGCTCGCTCCTCATTACAAAAAATGATGGGCTAGAGTTGATGCTCGCAGCGAGGTGGTTGCTTGTAGGGTTGGGCACTTGGAACTGAAAACCGAAACCGAAACACGAATCGAATCAAACCGCACCAAACGGTTTGGTTTTGCGGTTTTGAAACGATTTCGGTTTCAAAACCGAACCGCGGCACACAAAACGGTTTGGTTTCGGTTTTGGGTTTTGGGTGCAATTTTGTGCAGTTTTGGTGGAGTTTTGTGCAGTTTTTGGTGCTGTTTTTTATTCAGTTTTGCTGCATTTATATTTTTTTTTTGCAGTTTTGACTCTTTTTTTGCTGCAGTTTTGCTACAATTTTACTGCATATTCATTAATTAATATATGACGAAAATAAAACCGTCTTATGCATAAATAGGTTTATATTTTAAATTGTACATTTTTTTTCTCAAAAACCAAATCGAAACCATTTGAAACCGCACCACACCGAACCGAACAGTTTGGTTTCATTTCGGTTTTGACTTCAAAACCGCACCGCACCGCACCGCAAAATGTTTCGGTTTCGGTTGTGGTTTCACTCGAAACCGCACGAAACCGCACCGCGCCCACCCCTAGTTGCTCGGCAGGCGGCAATGCTCTCTAATGATGGTGAGGGAGTCCTTTTTATAGAACAAGGGCTCGCTCCTCAATACATGAATAATAGGTGTTCTCTAATGAAAGTGAGGGAGTCTCTTTTATAAAATAAGGGCTCACTCCTCAATACATGAATAATGGGCTAAGTCCCCCAAGTATTTTTTATGAGGCCCAATATATGGTACATAGTGTAGTCCCTCAAGTCTTCGGTCAATAGAGTCTGTTGGCTGGAGACTTCAAATTGAATCCATGTATGGGCCAAAGTGGCAGTTGTTCAGAGGCGGTATTTGTATACCCTGCACTGAAGCTTTGTAGGTGAAGCCTTGCAAGTGAAGCTCTGTAAATGAAGCTCTGTAAATGAAGCTTTTGAAGCTAGAGCTTTTGTAAATGAAGTTTTTGAAGCTGGAGCTCTGTAAATGAAACTTTCGAAGCTAGAGCTCTGTAAATGAAGCTCTTGAAGTTAGAGCTTTGTAAATGAAGCTTTTGAAGTTGATTGACATGAGTGATGCTTATGAATGTTTATGTTGATTGACATGAGTGATGCTCATGAATGTTGACATGAGTGATGCTCATGAATGTTGACATGAGTGATGCTCATGAATGTTTATGTATGATTGACATGAGTAATGCTTATGTATAACTTGAAGTACTGGGCATACTTTTGATCACCTGGTTAGTGATAATAGCGGCAGGCTGCCGAATAATTTTGGAGTACTGGACGTACTTTTGATCACCTGGTTGGTGATAATAGCGGCGGGATGCCGAATAATTTTTTGTAGTACTGGGCGTACTTTTGGTTACCTGGTTGGTGATAATAGCGGCAGGGTGCCGAATAATTTTTTGTAGTACTAGATGTACTTTTGGTCACCTAGTTGGTGCTATTTTGGGCTTATGGGCCTTCGCCTTCCACATAACATTCTAGCCCATTTATTTTGGGCTTTGCCGCTTTTTTTTTATTTTTTTTATTTTTTTTATTTTTTTTATTACCCTCTAATGGGGTTTATACAGATGTTTCCGAAAGATAAGAAAAATAAATTACATCATTTAAAAATAAATCCGACCCTCTACTCAATGGGTCACGCCCATAATTCTCAGTTTAAGGGTATCTTTTTTCGACCTTGCCTCATGTATCTTGCTTTTTAAAAGCCGTGTATTAGACACAAGATTATCAATAACAGTTTTTTGTTGATCAAGTTGAGATTTCAAAATATTACC